GGTGAGCTAAGAAAATGTTTATCTCCCTGAGCCTGGCCTTCATAATTCCACTCCATCACATGATCCCAGGGATAAGGACAGGTGGGGTTGTGGTTATGGTCTGACATCTCACAGGATAGAAACTTGGCAAGTAAACACATCTGATGTCGTTTCTTTCCACAACCTTGGAATAGGAACGTCATTCTCCCGGAACTTAGATTGGCGCCTACCCTTCTGGCTGTTAGGAAAGGCTTAGAAGACTTGGCATTGCCATCTTGCTTGGGGATCTGGTAGCGGTAGTGTGCAGTCTGCTAAATGGAATATTTTTATTGTTTTTCGTGTGTTCTAATGGTTGTTATTGTGTGATTTTGTGTGTGGGGGTGCTTGTATGGTTTAACTTTGTGAGCTGCCCAAGGACATGTGCGTGAGACGGGCGGTTATATAAATTGAACAAATAAATAAATAAATAAATAAGGAGCAACATCTAGAGCTCCCCAATGGAGAAAGCTCAGATACAAACACAGTTTTATAAACAATGCACAGAAAAGAGAAACTCATAATTTCAGCTACGAGACCCCTAAGCAGAGGGCTTCTCTCTGCCTCAGCCCCCTGCCTGTTCAGTGGAAGGCTTCAGACCTCTCCCTCTTCCGGTTCCCACTGCCTTGTCTCACCCCAACCTTCTCTGCAGCCAAGTGCGGGAATGCTTGAAGCTGGACCAGGATGACAAGGACTGTTTTTCCCACTACAAGCAAGTGAAGAAGCTCGCCAAGCAGCTGGAATCTGCTGAGGAGCATGTCAAAGCTCAGAGGTGATCTTCTTAGCCTGGATGTCAGTATTTAAGCTGGCTTTGGCATTAACAGTCGTTGAGATTTCAACAGCCATCTTTGCGCGCTTTCTGGCCTATCCTTACAACACATGGAGGTTGTATAGCAGAAGCAATATGGATAAAATACTTGGGCAAGCAGATATGGATGAAGTGGTCCTTTCTGTGGTTGAATCCCAGAAACAGGATCAAAGAATATGGAGGTCTGCTATTGATGATACCCATTTTCCAAAATCAGGTCCTTTTTTAATGTCCCATGAAGGGTCTTGATGCTGAATCAAGACATTTATTCTTGAAGCCCAGGACTTTTGAGTCTGGTGGCTCTCAAGAACACCAGCAGTGTGATTTGTCCCAGTTAGCAACTCAAGAGTTTCTTTAGATGGAGCACCCAAAGCACCTGCTTGATCACAGAGAGAACCCAAATTGGTATAAGACATTTTCATGTGACTTTAAAGGAATTGGAGAAGGGTAGGGTTAGGTAACTTTTGGAAGATAAAGTCTTACCAGCTAGCTATGGAGACCTATAAGCCAGTGGCCTCTTCCATGACGTCTCATGGTAGTGAATTCTAGAAGATGATAAAGTGAAGTAGTCGTTTATTATCAGTTGCTTGCTTCATTCCCATTTCATTTTCTTGATAAAGTTCCCAGAGGAATTTGTCTTACCATGAAATGGGATGTTTCCTCTCTCCAACACAATTCAAAATGTAAACCCCTATCACGATTTCCATTTTCTTCTGTCATCTGGGAGGTTTGTTTCGTTTCTTTTTCTTTTTTTTAATCATCATGAGAGAATAGTGCTGAATCTAATTCATAGTCCCACTTTGAGCAAACAAAACCCCAACCCAAATCAGTGAAATAAATCTCAAAGTGCTTTATAATAGATGATGCTTGCAAATGCAGTCTAGCAATGTAATGCACCAGCACAATTAATTTAAAAGCCCAAAGCCCTGGAATGGGAAGGGGAGGCAAAAATGCTAGTCAGTGAGATCGTCACCCCCTTGCTAACTACCCCACGGAGTGTAGCTACCCTCCAGAAACGTGTAAAATGAATGCCCACCCCTCTTAGATCTCAAGGTTCACCAGCTGTGTCCCCTGCCCAATGGTGTTTCTTCTCTGCCGTTCCCTAATAACAGGTACGCAGATGCCATTGAGAAGTATAAAGCGACCATGAAGACAGAGCCCAACGTAGAGATCTACACCATTAAGGCGAAAGGACGGATCTGCCACTGCTTATCCAAGGTAGAGGCTGAACTCGGGGAACCCCTTTGAAATGAATCTGTCTTTGGGTCCCAGGGGATTAACAACCCCATTTGGGAAGCTGCATATGTGGTATAATGTAACAAGAGGAAGAAGGAGGTTAGGGTGTTTTGCTTCATCCCATGATGTTGAAATTGGGATCGATGCTTACTTGCTGACTCTGCCATCAGTCCCCGGTTGGTCTGGTTCTGTGGCTTAGCCTCGCTGAGATTTTGCTTCCTTCTTGTATAAATGGGGACGTGGTCCTTTATCTCAGAGAAGACTCCTGCCTCTGGCTCCAGATGCAGCCTTGACCAAGCTGATCTTCTCCAGATGTTTTGGAGGGCCACGCTAGTCAGAGATAATAGAAATTGTAACCCAGTACATCTGGAAGACACTGAGATTGTCCAGATATTTTGGACTATAATTCTCTTGGCCCTTCTCCAACGAGCTGAAAGAAACTGCATAGGATGCATTTACGTGTCAAACCTCACTTGCTCATAAGAAAGGCTTTAGAAACCTGGCTTTTTCCTCGGGTGTTGGGGACAGGATGATGGAAGTCCTCATCTTGAGGATAGCAATTGCAAGTTCCTGATGGAGTGTCAAGGGTTTGTTTACATGTTGATGGAATTGGCTATCTGTTTTTGCTTATTTTGGGGTTTATGGTAAGCTGCCCAGAGTCACGCTGTTCCATTTGGGCAGCCATACACATTTCTTAAATAAATAAGTAAATAAAATTAACTGGAGAGCGTGTTTAATTAGAGACTGTTGTGAGATCATGTGGGAGATTGGAACAGATGACAGGACTGGCCTGGGAAGAGATGTGTGAATGTGCTAGCCGAAAAAAGAGCAGCACAAATCGTGTTCACCTTCTGCCTCTTGCTGCAGAGCAAACGGATTGTGGAAGCGATAGATCTCTGCAGCGAAGCTCATCAGCTTGATCCCAGAAATATATTCATCCTGCGTGACAGAGCAGAGGCCTTCATCCTGAACGAGGAATTTGAGAAAGGTCAGCAGCTGAGCCGTCCCATGCCACGATGGTGGGAGCCTCATCTGACCCGTTTCTTCCTCCCTCCACCCAAGGGTTTTCTGGTTTGCTTCTATATTTGTTGGCAAATACACCGCCCCAGTCAAACCACTCTGTAATCACAAATACAGAAGCCACGCTAGATGAGCCGGATCGTTCATTTCAGGGCCACCCAAACATCTCATCCAGAGACAGTAGAAAGTGATGCAAATGCCTCATCTCTTGAGGCTGGGAGTGTATTTTTTAAAAACATTTTTTATAACCCAACACTTTATTATGAGCATGGAGAAATATGAGACCAAACAGAACGATTCCCTGAATGGAACCCCTTCTTCTATACTTTGTTACAATTGTACACTTAATTTTACTTCAGAGATTTTTTTTTAAGTGCAGTCGGAAAGGGATCATACATGGTTCACCAGGAATTGCTTTAGCACTGCCCCCCTCCACCCGCAGGATAGGTAGGGCTATACTTTCCAGCCCCCCTTTCCTTTTCTTTCATTTTTTGACACTTGGGAGGTTTAGGGGCAAAATTAGTGCCCTGAACCTTGCAGGACACTTTACCCCTTAAAATTCCTAAAACTCTCTCTAAATATGAGTCCTGTCCCTGCCTGTTTTTGGAGTATAGCTGATCACCCGCAGAGTATCTGGTATGGGCTCCAGCTGATGAAGGTTGTATATTCCCATTCAGCTGGATTCTATAAAAGCCTTTGAACTAAGAGGCAAAGCTTGGGGAAAACAAAGCTTCCAAACTGAAAGAATTAAAACTAGCCTTTTTTTTCTTCTTCCATCTATAGCCATTGAAGATTATCAAGAAGCAAAAGAGTTTGATGGTGAAAATGAGGAATTAAAAGAGGGGCTAGAGAGGGTGCAGAAACTGCTGAAACAGTCCAAGAAGCGGAACTATTACAAAATCCTTGGAATTCAGAGGTAAGCAACTCCATCTTCTGTATCCAGTTCTTTCACAATCCAGGATTAAAATTGTAGAGAGGAATTCCCCAGTAATAGAATATTAAAGCTTGTACTTGTGAGGGTTGAAGTCCAGGTTTAACGATTTTGGAAAGCAAGATCAGATGGTGCACTTTTGTGACCTCAAGGCCTCTTTCTACCAGGAAAAAAGAAATTTATTTACATTAACAGACCATCTGGCCTGACAGAATGGTGCATTCATGTAAAATGTTCAGCCAAGCCTTTTTTTTAAACCATAGCTTGTTCAATAAACCACAACAACCTGTCCACCCCGAAGCCATAATTGGTAGGCTCAAACATAGCCCCAAAGAAGCAGATTACATTATGGTTTAGTACTGTGGACTCCCTTAAGAGCTGGAACAGGGGTAGAGATCATAGGCCTTTCCAAATACTACTACAGCTCCCCAAATCTTCCATTTCTGACCCTGCTGGCTGCTGGGAATTGTAGTTCAGCAACTTCTGGAGCATCATAGCTTCCCCACCCTGAACTATCATTATACAGTAGGTGAGAAGTGAAAACATTGCTTGGACCCCAGGCTCATTTAGGTGGCCTTAGTGGGAATGTGGCTAAAAATAATTTGCCTAAGTGTGGGAATCTAAATCCCCAATAACTACAGCATTGTGGACACACTAAATGAAAGGAATAAGTTCAGTTGCTTTTTTTAAAACTTCTCTCCTGCAGTCTGCAATTATCCCCGGCCTCCATTTTTCCAACAGCAGAAGGGAGACTAATGGGGCCTCCCCTGTGGATAATCCACAGCACGGAGCTAGCTCTGGCCCAAAAGAGACGATGCTTCAAATCACCCTATCCTAAACGGATCTATTTTTCATGCCCCCAGGAATGCCAACAAGCAGGAGATCATCAAAGCGTACCGAAAGCTGGCTCAGCAGTGGCACCCCGACAATTTCCAGTCTGAAGATGAGAAAAAGGAAGCCGAGAAAAAATTCATCGACATTGCAGCCGCTAAAGAGGTCCTGACAGATCCAGGTAAAGCCTCTTGGCTTAACGTCTTTTCTGAAGAAGGGGGTGTTTGGGGTCAAAAGAGTTTGCCTTCAACAACAGCAGAAAAACTGGGCAGGGAGATATATGTTTAATATATGTTTTCTCCACCGTGCTATTTTTGTCAGTTATAAAAACTAGGAGTTCCCCCCCCCATGAGATTTTTTTTTCCTTATGAACCGTGGATTCGGTTCTGAATAGGAAGCATAGCAGGCAGAAAGCAAATGTGTCTGCAAACCCGTTCAAGAAAAATATATGTACAGGTAGTCCTCATTTAACGATGGTAATTGGAACCAGCAACTCTGTCACTAAGCAACACAGTCATAAAGCACAATGTCATACGACTGCACCAACTTACAACGGCAGTTGTGGCAGTTCCAGTTGCCATTGTTAGGTGAATCCAATGCACTGCAGCGTCCCATAGTCACGCGGTTGCCATTTGCAACCTCCTGCCAGCTTTCCCACTGATCTTGCTTGTCGGAAGCCAGCAGTGAAAGTTGCAAATGACGATCGTGTGATGTGGGATGCTGCAACCATCATAATTGCAAGCTGGTTACCAAGCACCCGAATTGCAATCATATGACACAGGGATGCTGTGATGGCCACAACTATGAGGACCCTTTGAATTCGTAACTTTGAATGGTCACTGAACAAGTGGTTGTTCAACAAGGACTACCTGTAGTCTGTCCTCATCACTTTCAAAATTCCTTTCCCAGTTTCTGCTGTTTCAAGATAGAACTATCTGGTGAGATTGGCATGTTCCCAGTAAGGGATTACCACTCCCTATTATATAAGCTAAAGCTATGTCATTAGATAAGGAATTTCATCCAACGTCTTTTTATATTTCTCTTCTACCTTTCCTTAAGGAGTTCAAGACAAGGTTCATTCTAGTGAATATATAGCCCACCTCCCCTTATTCTCCCTACAGTCTTGGTAGGCAGATTGCAAGGGCAACTCTCCCAAAGTCATTCAAAAAAGTTTTGTGATTGTCAAGGAAATTTGCTTCTGGATAGGTGGCCGCACAAAGGTCAGGCCTAGTTAGTATTTGGATGGGAGACCATGAGGAAATGCCAGGGCTATAGAGTAGACAGGAAGTCAAAAAGCCTCCCAGAAGATAGGGGCAAGCCAGTTCCATATTGCTGTAGGAAAATGACATGGGTGTGTCTATGAGGTCACCAGGAGTCAAGCGAGAGTTAATTTCAGCCTCTATTCCAAACCCAACATTCTAATCTTGACATCATACTAAGTCACAGCAAGCACGAAGCACGTGCATTTTTTTAACTAAGCACATTTTTTAAAAAAATCTAAACTCTAAAAGGTAAAAGAATGAAGACCATGCAATTTTGTCCACACCTAGAAATTTTTTTTTAATAGACTTTGAAAGACCCCCTGCTCCAATCAATAGAGGGAGTAAGAACTTAAAAAGAAAAAATTATCCCACCTTTATTATTTTTATAAAAAGCTCAAGTTGGCAAACGTACTTAAATACTCCTGCCTCCTCCTCTTTTTCCCACAACAGCCCTGCGAGGTGAGCTGGGCTGAGAGAGAGGGACTGGCCCAAAGTCACCCAGCTGGCTTTCATGCCTAAGGCGGGACCAGAACTCCCCATCTCCTGGTTTTTAGGCTGGTACCTTAACCGCTAGACCAAACTGGCTCTCGGTTTGTATTTTAGTTTATATTTTACCCTATATACTCGCATATAAGCCCATCTGCAGCTAAGCTGACCCTCAAATTTTCAAAATACCCTGAAAAATGTGCCACCTGCAGATAAGCCAGCCCACATTTTTCAGGGTACTTTGCTTAAAAATTTGAGGTTAAAAAATGTGGATGGGCTTATATACGAGTATATATGGAAATAGGGGTACTTTAAAAAAGTATTATCGTATATGCTTGCAGATAAGCCCATCTGTGGATAAGCAGAACCCGCTTTTTTGGGTGCATAAAGTTCTCAGCTTATCTGTGAGTGTGTACGGTAGGTATCAAACTAAGACTCTCTCTCTGGGCCTGGCCTTCCCATCCAGTCCTAATGCCTTGTGGGTTTTTTCTCCCCCCTTCCAGAAATGCGACAGAAATTTGACTCTGGTGAGGATCCTTTGGACCCTGAGAATCAGCAAGGAGGGTCAGGACATCAGCACCAGTGGGCGTCCGAATTTAACCCCTTCGGCTCTGGGAACTTTCACTTTAAGTTTCACTTTAATTAACCTGCCTGAAGAGGAAGGCAACACCTTGGCCAGTGAGTTGATGCACAAAGATGACAAAAACAACTCCTACGCAATGGAGGGGGGGTTAGTTTCCCTATTTATATTCAAGTATCCCTTTCCAGATGACCAGATGTTTATTGCTCAAGACCACCCAGGACCTCAAGGAAGATGGTGACCTCCTGCTTCTAGTTGTGATTCCCAAGAAACAGTGGCTGGGAGAGGGGATTTACGATGCATGCAGAGCCTTAAACCCATCTCTGAATCCTGCCTTTCCTAGGGACTTTTAAAAAGTTAGGTCGAGCTTAATTATGCAGTCCATCCGAGCATCTCTCAAGTTCTCCTTTGCACCTGCAAGACCTGGGAAGCGATTCCAGCCCAGCTATTCACAACCCTTTGCCAAGGGAACAATTCGTTTTTAAATCCAAGAAAGGTGAAGGTGCCCTTTTCTTTTCTTTTCTTTTCTTTTCTTTTCTTTTCTTTTCTTTTCTTTCTTTTTGCTTTAAAGGAAAGCATGTCACTTGAGCTCACCTTCCCGAGGAAAGCTTGGCCGAACATGTTGACGTGTGAGTAATGCCATGCGTGGGATGGTGTCAGTAACTGATGCGGATGGGGAAAAGAATCCCAGCCGAGTCCTGCGAAGAATTTTGTTATTGCATCATCTCTTCCTTGGTAGGGAGGAGTTGGGGAATAAACTTTTGGGCAAGGCTGTTCAACCTTCAAAAGGCAGGGAGAAAGCCCCTGTGTCAGACTAGAAAAGAAAAAAGGTTGGTTTTGTTGCTTTGAGCATTTCTGGATGGGATTCTTTACTGGTGGATTTTGGTGTTGCACCTTGACTGCTCCTTCTTTCAAGATATGTGGAAGGACATACCCAAGGACAGTATGGATTTGGGGACAGAAGTTGATACCTTTCACCACTCCATGAAATTCCCCTTTGTACCGGAATTTAATATTTTTCAGGCATAATCCGTAGGCCGACAACTCTACCACTGAACGTGAACGTCCTCATTTTCTACAGCCAGTTAAAATTAAATTCCTTCTCCTCCCCCTCCATTTCTATCTAGTACAGTCATTACATAAAACCTGGTCTGCTTCAGTTGTTATCAGAGGCCAAGGAAAAAAGATTAAGGAGAGGTATTAATTTCCGTCTTTACCGAAAGTGTCAAGATTAAAAGTTTCTTACTGCCGAAATAATTGATTTTTTTTTTAACCTTTAACATTTTGTTGGAGTAAAGGTTGAGGAAGCAACAAAAGTGCTGAGTTAAGAAGGCTGAAGGTTTAGCATAACTTTCTCCTAGTTCTGAGCCAGGAAAAATAACTCAGGTTGAAAGCAAGCATTCGAAAATGGGTGTAATTGGGTAACCTGGAGTATGGAGGAGTAGGGGTGTGCATAAAACAAATAAAAATGTTTTTGTTTGAAGCTCTAAGTTAAACAGGTCAAGTTGGAACATTCTGCCAAAATGTTTCAAGTGTATTTGTTCCAAGGTAACAAAACATATGTTGAGTGTCTCATCCACAGGAAAAATGGGACCTCAAAACAAACTCCTTGTTCCCCTATTTTTTTTCCTAAAGTCACCGAAGTAGCTGAGAGCGCTACACACCACACAACCCAGATAAAAATTGGGCAAGGGGATTCTTTTAAAAAAACAACAACATGCATGCAGGTTGCAAAAAGCAGGCTTATTTCTACGCAGCTGATGCCTCCATTGTTTGCTTATAAGGCTTTGGTTTATTAATCATTGTTTGGCCAACACACGGTGTTTTGTTCCAGCTCGGTATGTTTTGCACCTATCTTAAAAGGGAGACTCCTCTTGTGACCCATTGCTGTCAGAAGAGAAGCTGTTCCTCTCAGCTTCCGACCCAAGGCTTATTTGCAAGGATGGGGGAATAAATGTCGCAGCCCTAAACCCTGATTCGAAAAGAAGGCCACTGACTTTGATGGTCTTGCTCCTGAATACATGGGCCTTGTACTATGTCCCATTTATGTTCAGGGTTGCTTCTCCAAGTATGCAAGAGAGTTCCAGCCTCACCAAAACTAGGGCACAGTGCCATGGACGGAAAGACTACATTGGCACAGGAGGAAATCTTGCCCCAGGCTGCTTTCTATATTGCATGACCCAGAAATGGCACCACACAAATACAGGCAATTCCCAGGTTAAGAAGGTCTGACTTACAGACAATTCATACTTACGAACAGGCTGCCTATTACTAAAATTGGCAGATGACGTCGTCCTTCCTTGAGCCGACAAACTGCTGAAGCTGTGTGTTTTTAATATACAGCCTGTTTTCCGTGGTTGTTTCTTGCTAATTTTCCCAACCCTCAGCATGTTTTTTTATCATCTGAGAAGAAAGTTTCAGGACAGCACTAACCTGCTGGCTGTGTTTACTTTCATCCTTGAGGACTAGTGTAGTGTACCAGCTAAAAGATCAGCTATGAAGGGGAATGCGTGCTGGTTTCTAGTCTTTCTAGGTGTTTTGCAGTTGGGAGATTTGGAGACAGACCCTACCTTGCTGAAAGGCTAAGAACGATACAGAGATGGCGTGCTTATTTATTAGATTTACATCCCACCTTGTGTTCCAGTGTTCAAAGTCGCACACATAGCGCTCCCTCTTCTGATTTTCCCCCCATAACAACCAGGTGTAGACTGGGCAGAGGGAGAATGTGACTGGTCCAAAGTCAGCCAGGGGGCTTCTCTGGCTAATGGTGGACTAGAATCAGGGTCTCCCCACTCCTAGTGCAAATCCTCAACCAGAACATCTTAAAACAAGAAGCATCTTGGATTATTAAAATGCTTTTATGGATGCTGTATAAGTGTGATATGGCTGGGCTCATACCAGAGGCAAGGTTGAAATGCACGTACACTCTGCTGTGGTTTGATCATTTAACTCAGCCAGTTGGGTTAATGCACTGGCTCGCTTAACCATGGACTCCCCTCCCCTCCTTCCCTTTCCGACTTTTCATGTTGAAATTCCAAAGAAGACAGCTCACGTTGGGCACTGCTTTTTATACAAAACAGGTCACAGACATGTTTCCTTGTTATGTTCTTTTTAAAAATATATCACAATAAACTCAAGTTGTATTCCTCAGCAGCAAGGAAGCAAAAGCTTGTGGTTCCAAGATGCGACAAAGTTCAAAACGTCTTTACGTTCAGGGATCCATAGCTCCAGTTCTTGGACAAGGAGTAGGAAGGAAGCCGAGTCACTACTTGCTCAGCGACTCCATGTTGGTTAATACTTAGCCCAAAATGAAAGGGTGCTGCTAAACTTCCTGTTCAGCTGGCATCTTAACTTTCTTGTGCATAATGATCTGAAGGATAGATCCTCTAAACCAGTGTTTTGGACCTTGACAACTTTAAGATGTGTGGACTTCAATTCCCAGAATCCCCTAGTCAGGGGGATTCTGGGAGTTGAAGTCCACACATCTTAAGTTGCAGTGGTTGAGAAACACCCCTCTAAACCAAAACCCATGAAGGTATTTGAAGGTCTATTGGATCTCAGAATGGTAAGTGTTCCTCCGTGCTGTTGACTATCTCAGTTTCCTTCTTGAAGAAACAGGAGCCAATGTCCAGGAACATTTTCTTTTAAAAATCTCAAGCTAGCT